TGAATATTAACATTTGGCGAAGTGGAATATTTCGTGTTTCAAGAGACTGCACTCACACTTCTCTATATCGATGCCCAACTATATGCTAGTGATAATTAACATTAACTTATTCTGCAAAATCTTCATTGTGCTAAATATTGGATATTAATTTTGTTTCTTATATGTTGCAGGGACTTAAGCAGGAAGTCATTGTTGATTTAGTGGAACAGTGTCGTAATTACAAGCAAAGAGTGGTACACCTTGTTAACTCGACATCGTAAGGCCTTTACTTCCCTTCTTACTTATCAGGTGTGATTGTTCTTGCGAGAGTTTCGACATCTCCATGTATGAATTTCGTATAGGGCATAAAATATATTCTTGTGTGTAAATATTTAATGACCTCAAAATGGAATTACCCGATCAATGATCTAAGATATTCCTCTGGTTGAAGTGGTTATTTATAAACTCAGATAGAAGATGCATGGCCTATTGTTAATTGTCAGTGCTGTACCATCTGCTTGTGTTTTATTAGGGTATTAGCGGCTTTTATCTAACTCTTCTTGTGAGTTAGAGGAATCTTATGTGATCAATATTCTTACATGTGCTTGCAAACCCAGTTTCAGTCTATAGTTTTGAGGAAAAAAAATTAAAGTTGGAGTAGTCTTATTCCAAATGCTTGGTGAGCACGGGATTCATTTTCTGGAAAGATGTATTTTAGCTCAACTGCTGATTGTGTGCTTATTTTACTGACTTGATTTTTATCACTGAATGAAGTCTGTGTTACTGATGTGAACATTGACTAGTTTCTATTTAATAAGTATTTATGCAACCCTAGCCATTGAATTGAGGAGGTAATTAATGATGGAGGTATACTGTAATTATTGTGTTGCAATGTGGTGGTTAAGTTTTATTCAGATACAATACATTCTAATTTTGGTCCATCTGTTTCCCAATTTAGGGATGAATCACTATTATGCCAAGGTCTAGCACTGAATGATGACTTACAACGTGTACTGGCTAAGCACGAGTCAATTTCTTCTGGAGCTATTTCTGTTCAGTTAGAGAAGCCAAAATCTGAAGCAGAGAAGTCAAATTCAGAAGCTACTAAAGCTTTGGTCCCTCTTGATGCCCCTCTTATCGACACAGGCGATACCAATCAAGGCAAAGAGTAAGTCTTGATTCCACTTTTCATGCTTGATCAATAAATTAAACACTTGATTTNCTGCTCCTGAATACCCACCCACTCGTCCACATTTGTTTAATGGCTTGGTACCTCTAAACTGCAAAGCGCTCAAGTTAGTTCAACAAGTTTTTGTGCACATAACCTTGCCTTTATCATTCTTAATGTGGTATTAGTATCATATTTTACTATATATATATATATATATAATTACTGGCTATTCAATTAATGTTATTCTTAAAATTTTCCCGCTCATTTTATTTTCATCTAATAATGGAAACTAACCGTTACATTTTACATTAACTAATTATAATTTTCTTATCATATAATAATTACCACCAATAGTAGCTAATTATAAATTTACACTAAAAGGTTTATGGAAGTTACACACTTATAAAATAATTATAGCAATTTTATTTCTTCAAGATATTTATTTTAAAATTAATATTATCTTTTATTTTTATCACATTAGGCAATTTTTTTAAGTACCTAAAGCTATCCTTTAAAATTACGTAAATAGTTGCTATAATAATAATAATAATTTTAATATTTTTTTAACTAATTAATGTAGCATAATCCCTTAAATTTGTAAAAACAATATATTATTCATTACATTTTATGCAATCTATGTAGTGATTTATATATAAATAAAATAATTTATAATTATAATGCTCATTTATACTAATGATCATATTCTTAAAATGTGATATGCGCATTATCTAATTTATAATTTCAAATATAATATCTATAAATACGTTATATAATATTTTATTTGCATCTGTGCATGTGCACAAGATCGAGTACTAGTTATGATAACAAAAGACAGTGCACCATCTATTTTCCTGAATGTGATGTTTAGCAGGATAATATTTCTTTCACTCAATTTTGGGAATTATTATCGCGCATTCTTTTATTGATCAATGCTTATTTTTTTATCTTTTTTCCTTGCCGTAGGCCGGCTATTCCTTTTTGCTCCAGCCAATATTTGATTTTTTTCCTTCATACATATGTAGTCTTGAAAATAAAATAAAAACGAGCCAATATGCAATTGCAGGTTCACATCCAGTACTAGCTTAGGGACTCAACTATCCCTCACTGCTCCTTCAGCAAATCACGTTCAGCCAACTGCTCCTGTGAAAGTCGACCCCAAAATTGACCTTTTGAGTGGAGATGACTTCAATTCACCATCGGCAAATTCCCTTGCTCTTGTCCCCATCAGCCAGCCTCAGCCAACGAGCCCCATTGCATCGCAGCAGAACACGCTAGCTCTTGTCGACATGTTCTCAGGAAGTAATAACAACAGCCAGCCTCTGAATTCCATCGGACAATTCTATCCTTCCTCTCCCCAATTTCAGCAGCAAACGAATTTTCAGTCTCCACAGCCTTCATTCTACCCCAACGGTACTGTTTCCAGTCCCACAGTAACTCAACAGGATCAATCACTCTACTTACAAGGCTCTGATTCTGTGTGGAGGGCCCAGATGGTCCAGCAACAGCAACCTCCTTCGCCCATTAATGGTGAGCCACTCCTTGTTTCTATTTTTCAATTACCGTCTATTTGTTTTATTCTGCCTTTTGCTGTGTTATAATTCAGTTTGATTTTGCCTTTTGCTGTGTTATAATTCAGTTTGGTTGGTTGTGCTTGGGTTGAGGTGCGATTCAGTGGTAGGGTGACTCGTCAAACCACCGAATGTGTTTTGGCTAAGACCTCAAATTGTTTGATTTCGAACACTTTCCAAGTTCATTCTATTTTAGTTTGTTTTTGGTGGATTTTATTTATATCCATCATAGAACTTGGTCATTTTGTCCTTCCTTTTTATTATTTTGTTTCTCCCACGTGCATCTCATGAAGCCCTCAGTGCACATTTCATGGGGTACTCTTTAAGTACATGTTTTCTTTTACATGCACATACAAACATGTGCATTTCATGAAGCCCTCAGTACACATTTCATGGGTACTCATAATCACATGTTCTACATGCACATACACACACTCACACACTACTCACATTTCACTGATGTGCATTCAAGTACGCATACATTTTCACATACTACACATTCAATGTGATTGTTTTCATCGTTATTCTCGGTTACATGGCAATTATGAAATAAATTTGTATTGCACCTGAATCTTCACAAATCCACATCATATCCAACAATCCATGGTGTTTGAAATCCATGAATTTTGGAAGAACGCGGATTTCAGTAAATTCAAATATGCAACCATAAGATATTTACAGAATGGAAAATAAATAAATATGCAAAGAAAAGAACATACAGAAGCGAGAAAATAAGAGAAGGCGGCATATGAAGATTGAAACAGATTCATAATAAGATTCGCAACTCTTTTTATCCTCTCTTTTTTGTTGAGATTTTTTTGGAGAGGATATTAACATCTGAACTGTTTTTGTTTTAATGATTATTCTTTGGTAGGTGCTCAAAACAATGCCTTTCCTCCTCCACCATGGGAAGCCCAACTGGATAGCAGCCTCTCAGTCACCAGCCAGCCTCCCCAAATGCAAGCCATAAACTCGAACAGTCCATCACCAAACAACACATATTTCCCGGTCAACGGCAATCTGCCCACAAGTAATCAAATGTCGGGCCTTGGCCCGAATCCTATGATCATCTATCCTCAGCCAATGTATCCTCAGCAAATATATGGAAATCAGATGGCTAGTTACGGATATGGCTACGGCCCACAGCAAATCCAGCAGGGAATTTCGGGACTATCTCTCTACTCCACGTCATCAACTCTGCCATCTGGAAGGCCGTCCAAGCCCGAGGACAAGCTGTTTGGGGATCTCGTTGACTTGTCTAAATTCAAACAAGGAAAAACTACGCCAGCTAGACCTGGGAGCATGTGACCTGGACTGGATGTGGCCTTGGATTTTGGTTGGGACTTTTGCTATTGCCTTTGCTAACTTGGTTGACTTAATATTTTTTTTTTTTTTTAGAAATATTTTATGGGGGTNTTTTTTAGCGATTTGTTTTGCCCGAAACATTTTTTCCTTTCTCTTATTTTTGGTTTTAGTATTTTTATTTGTTATGGGATTTTTATACCTGGCTCATTAAGCTCATGTATATTTCTTGTAGAAAGAAAAAATCCGGTATAAAAGAAAGGAACATTTTCTTGTGTTTGTTTCAGCGGTTGTGAGTGAACAAGGCATCAGTAATTCTGTTGTATGGTCAGTAATAAAGTTAAAATTAGGAGGTTAATTTTTATTCGTTACCTTTTTTGTTGGGTTTTTTTATTTTTTATTTTTTTTATTTTTTATTTTATTTTTACCAAAACGACAAAGATAACTTTATAAAATTCAAAGCGAACATAGTTCGAATACAATCCCGAAAAAGAAAAAAGAGAGACACGCTCAAAGCGGTCTAGAGCCTCAACAAAAAATATAACTGACAATACCCTTTAAAAGAGCCTAGATGCAATGTCCAAAGAATGGAGTAATGACCACTGTTGCAAGGCCTAGCCAAATGCTCCATTCCAATCAAAATACATAACAAACAACAAAGAGAAAAAAGAAAAATAACCAAAGAAAATCTAAATGAGACTCTAAAACATAAAGACTAAGCCACCGTAGAGAATTCCATCCAGTCCGTGTGTGCCATCTTGATCACCAAGTGCTCTGGAATAACTGACTTTTGAAAAACCCATAAGTTTCTCGATTTCCAAAGCCACCAAAGCATGTATGTGGTAATTTGAATTCTTGTTCGGCCACTTCAGAACGATCTAGGGTGCAAATGCAATACCACCATGATTTGAATGAATCTGTGCAATCTGATATGCCATCCCATTGGACTGGACTCAATTTCCAAAATCTAACAGCTCTTGGGCATGAGAAGAATAGGTGCTCTGTAGCTTCAGCAGCTTCTCCACATAATGAACATGTAGTATCCAAATCAATTCCTCTCTTCCTAAGATGAACAACTACTGGCAATGTGCCTGAGATACATTTCCATAAGAAATGTTTTAGCTTGCCTACTACCTTAAGCTTCCATACCCTGTATTTGACTGAGTTTTTTATGACTGAGGAGTTGTTACTTCCTGGTATATCTGACTGTTGTGCTTTGATGCTGGATAGATGTGCATATGTACTTCTGACTGAGATGTGTCCTTTTTTCTCTAAGCCCCAGTACAATCTGTCTTGCCTTTGAGGATTTAAGGAGGAAATGTTCAATATGGCATTACTTTCAGCTTCATTTAATACCTGTCTGATTAGCCCTTCGTTCCACTGCAGTCCATCTGCCATTGTTAATTCTTTACCCATATCAACAGATTGGCAGCTGTGGAAGTTAAAGTTGGAGCTGGTTTTTGAAGATCAGACACCCAATTAATATCTGTGGTTCTTGTTCCAGCTCCATTTCTGATATCAATTTTTAAGAACTTAGAAAAAATAGGCATGAATATCCATCCAACTGTTCCATATCCAAGAACCACTTTGTGTTCTTGCAGCATGTACAATTGAAGTGTTTGGAAAATACCTATCCTTGAGGATCTTGCTGACTAGTAGCTTAGGGTTAGTTGCTATTCTTCGTAACTGCTTACAATTAAGTGCCCTGTTGGAAATTGGAAATCATGAAAGCCCAATCTACCTTGATTTTTAGGAATGGCTAAGAAACTCTACCTTTTCCAGTGAATGCCTTGACTTTGATCTGAACCTGATTGCCACCAAAATTGAGCACATAGTTTGGATATTTCTGAACATATGGAAACTGGCAGAATAAAGCAAGACATTGAAAATACTGGCAGTGCCTGAATAACAACCTTTATTAACACCTCTTTACCTGCTGGACTTAACAATTTAGCCTTCCAGCTAGTTAACTTGTTTCTAACAGTATTAATTATATAATCAAAGACTTCCTTTTCTTATTTTCCAATGCCTACGGGGAGTCCAAGATATCTAGTTGACCTGTGTGAGACTATACCATTCAAGGTTCTACAGATAGCATCTTGAAGATGTTGTGGAGTGTTCCTACTGAAAAAGATTGCTGACTTTTGCAAGTTAACTGTTTGCCCAGTAAAGAGTCTGTATTGCTCCAGAATTTGCATAAGAATTGCTGCTTGGTCTGTGCCTGCTCTACAGAAAAATATTGAATCATCTGCAAATAGAAGGTGTGAGAGCAAGGGCCCATTTCTTGATATTTTCGTACCACTCAACTGACCATTAGAAATAGAGTGCATAATCAAAGCAGTAAGTAACTCTGCAACAATGATAAATAGGTAAAGGGATAATGGATCCCCTTGCCTTATTCCCCTGGATGGTGTAACATAACCATTGATTGTCCCATTTATTTTAAAGGAGAAGGATGCTGTAGTTACACATATCTGGGTGGAAGCCCATTTTGCAGCATAATATTTTTTAAACAAAGCCATTCTACTCGATTAAAAGCTTCATTAAATCTAATTTTAATGCCATGAAGCAGTTAGGACCAGAAGAGTGTCTATTTAAAAAATGAAAGGCTTCCTGGGCTATTATTACATTATCTAATAGTTGCCTACCTTTCACAAAAGCTGCTTGAAAATCACTGATACAATTGGCCAGACAGGATTTTAGTCTTTGTGCTAGAAGATTAGAAATGATTTTGTACATTACAAAACAAAGACTTATTGGGCCAAATTGTCCCAGAGTATCTGGATTTGCATTTTTGGGAATCAAGGAGATGATGGTGTGCTTTCAATATTTCAAGATCATACCTGACTGGTAAAAGCTAATGACTGCCCTCATAATATCCTGTTTGATGTGATTCCAGAAATGCTGATAGAAGGCTACTGTCATGCCATCCTCTCCTGGGGATTTGTCTGGGCTTAAGCTAAACAAAGCCTTTTTGACTTCTTGCTCTTCCACTGGCCTCATCAGTTCCTGGTTCATTTCCTGGGTTATGGAATTGGGAATAAGATGTAGAACTGAATCTCCACCCCAACTGCCTTCTGAAGAGAAAAGTTCAAAGTAATAATCAGTGATATGCTTCTCTATGTCTGCCTGATTGGAGCAACACCTTTCTTGAGCCTTGTCATGGCATTCTGCCTTCTTCTTTGCATGGCAATTGCATGGAAAAATATGGTGTTTGCATCTCCTTCCTTCAACCATTTGTATTTTTCTGAGTGAGTTCAACAATGGTCTTTTGGTTCTGAGTATGGAATGTGGAGCTCCATTTAAGAAGGGCAATTATGGGGTTTTTGACTTTCTCCTTTAATTGGAAGAAGGGAGTGCCACTTACTGGAATCTGCCATGCTGCCCTCACCACTTCTTTAAATCCTTCTTTACCTATCCATCTCTTGTCAAAGTGAAAGATAGATTTCCTTTTGTCTCTTGGCAGTCCTAGGTCTAGCAGAAGTGCTGAATGGTCTGAGGAGCTTCTTATTACATTTTTTAGAATGGCATTAGGATAGGCTTGCATCCAATCCCAGGAACCAAAACCCCTATCAAGTTTTTCCTCCACTAAATCAGGTAGGGCCCTGTTATTGCACCATGTAAATGGATATCCTTCAAGTCTGATCTCAAACATCCCCCAGGTTATTGATAAAGTTATTAAATCCCTACAGGCTGGTGGGGGATCTTGGAGCTCCTTCAAGTTTTTCATCATTAGATATTATGTCATTCCAATCACTTATTGAGAACCATACATCTTCACATTTGCTTCTGGCTTCTATTATTTATGCCCATTGAGTTTCTTTGAGCAATCTACTTGTACTGAGATATACAAATACCCCCCCTTTGAGGCAATGATGATTGAACCTGGAATTCTACTGCAATATAAAAATCTGTACATATAAGCTGTTTGATTTCTACCTGATTTCCCCAAAACAAAGCAAGTCCCCCACTGAGACCTTGTGGATCTACTGTAGCCACTCTATTATCAAATCCCAATTTCTTGCTAACTGACTTCACAAAAGCTGCTGACTTTTTGGTTTCAGAAATGAAAATAAGTTGTGGGTGGTGAGTTCTTTTTAACTCTTGGATTCGGGAAATTGTATAGGGCCCACGTAGCCCTCTACAATTCAACACCAGAGCTAACATGGGCCACTGTGGTGCCACTTCAGGCTGGCATCCCCCACCCTTTCCATTTTGGTTTCAGCTTCTTAGTTTCTGCCTGCTTAAGTTTGGTGGTCTCCCTGGAATTTGTGTCAGCTTCCTCCTCTTGTCTGGACCTTTTGTTTACAGTATCAGTAACTTTAGACACCTCAGTGTTTCTACCTGATTTGGCACCAACTCTTTTCCAGGTTTTAAGAGGCCCTGTGCTAGGGATAATGGCCTTCAGGTTTATCTCTGGGTCCTCTTGGGTGGTTATTATACCTGCATGCTCAACTTCCATAATTGCTACTTCCACCATTTGATTGTTAGCTTCTACTATAGCCCTTTCATTATTCTCTTCTTGATTGAAATTATTTGTTGCAAGAGCAAAAGATGAGGCTCCTACTGATTTATCAGATGGATGTATGTCTCCATGAGTTGGTAGATGCTCTTTGTGGTGTTCTTTATTCTGTGGGAGTTGGGGAGTCTGTTGGTGGAGGGCTTCTAGAACCTGAGAGACTAACTGTGAGCCATTTATGTCCCTCATTTGCCTTTATCCAGTCTCCGTATTGACCCTCCTTTAATGAGTTTTTTTTAATGTCCTCCATTGTTCTCTGACAACTACGATTTAAGTGTCCAATTTTTCCACAGTAATGACAGAGATTCATGAGCTTTTCATATTTAAAGCAGGATTTAACAGTTTGCTCTCCTAACTGAATAGTGGCAACTCTTGGGAGAGGCTCTTCCAAATTTAATGTGACCAACAGTCTGAGCAGCTTTCCTCCATGATTGCCAGAACTTGCTATGACCACATTTTTTAGATTCTTAAAAGCTCTGCCAATCTTGAGACCAACTTCCGTACTTATACAGTTTAGGGGAACATTGAAAACCTGAACCCAAATATTGAGTTCTTGGAAGCTAGGATGTTTACTGTTAATACTGTTGTGCCCTTCTCTGAGTATCATATATTGTTTTTCAAAACTCCAATTCCTACCTCCTGCCACCTTTTTCATATCCTCCTTGCTTTGAAAAATAAATTGAAAGAAGTTTGGACTTAGTTCCTTTACCTCCATTGATTGGCTGAGTTTCATATGTTCGTCATGGGTCTCTTTACACCAATCCAGCTAGCCGCTTGATCGCCAATAATTTTACCGAAAAGACTTCTCTGGCATTCATCATCACTCCATTTGATGTCCTCTTGAG